AGGATGTTTCATCTGGAAGCAAAATGACTAGGCAAGGACATTGTATCTGTCCTGACTGTTGAGTGTTACAAAATGATGTGTATCATTGAATCAATTTATGAGACAACATGGGATGTTAGGGAAAGTCAGGGAATCAGGGGCAGGTTGACCCTGAGTCAGTCTCTGAACTTCCAGGCTTCAACTTTCATTTTTCACATTTTATGATTCTGTCTTCCAGCCCTTAGAATCTAGAGCAAATTCTTGTTTACACAGAACATTTGGATAAAGAATGGTTTTGCTGAATGGCTCCTATAGCAAAAAAGCTTGAACCGAGTGTTGCTCAAACCAACACAATCACCTAATGACTCTAAGCCCTGTGTGTCTATCTATTAAACTGAAATGAGAATGCAGCTGACTTTGCTGGGCTTTTGTGAGAATTACATGAGGTAATATGTGTGAAAGCACCTTATCAACTCTGAAGTACTACCCAGATGCAAGCAGTTATACTGATTATTGCCATAGCTGGGTTATAACTTTTCTAAGAATTAGAATATAATGAAACACTCTTAAGCATTAATCTGTCTTCCATGATTCAGAGGATCCTTCAGGAAGTTACAGAATCTCAGGGTCACGGCCGTGGGCATGGAGTAATTCTGTAGAAAAAGATCTTGGCTATTTGTATTCTTTGCTTTTTAGGATTCAGATTAAATAGGAGCATATTGACCACATTAAACCCTGAAGGGAATAGAGATCACATAATCTAAGCCCCTTATTTTACAGATGAAGTCACTGAGACAAAGAGAGGTTGAGTGGCCTGCCCAGAATCAAATGTTAATTCATGGCAGATTTGGGAATAAAACCCAGGCTTCTGTCTCCCAACACATTTTTCATCATTAGTTTAAGAATAACTCAGAAAGTCTGAAACTGGGGCCAAAATGTACTGATGAATATGGCTGCCCCTTAAAGCAAGGAACTGAAGAAATATTAGAAGAAAGTTTAAGAGCCTGGGTGTGTCACTGAAGGATATGACACCATATACTTGACCTACTCAGGACGGGGGAACAGTACAATGGAATTTTTAGCAACTTTCTTAATCACAGCAGTTCATTTTCTCCATACAAAATTCTTTTCAAATATTCTCTGAAACTAATTGACATTAAAAACGCTGATCTTAGGAAATGGCCCCCGAGAGGCGTGATATGTGCACAGCGAATAGTATAATATAGGTGCAGAGCAGTGATCTCTCTCCCTCTCTCCTTTTGTTCCTTTTCCTAATCAGCATTAACATCTATAGTCTTTAACTTCGTTGAGTTAAAGCTGCAAGAGCTGGCCGTAAATAAAGCAAGTTAGGTATGTGCGAACCTCATCCTGCCCGTGCAGCTTCAGTTCCATTTGCAGCTGTGAGCCGTTGAAGACTCTCAGACCAAGCAGCCCTGAGTGCCTGGGAGCACGCAGCCTGTGAAGGGAGTGCTTCATTCCTGGATGCATTAAAAGCAGGTCCCACCTACACCTCCCTCCTCTTCCCGTTTATGAATCGACTTCTCCAGGGATCTGCCGAGTTTTGGGCTGTGTTTTTAGTCTGTTGATAATTTGAGAAAGTCTCCAAGGACCTGTCTTGGATGGGTAGGAGTCAGTTCACTCAGTCTTTCTTGAATCCCTAATTGATGTTCAAAACCAGTATCAGTTTTGGATCTGGATGGGACGTGCATGCGGAAGTACAGTGTGATGGATAAGAGCCCGATTCTGGAACCAGATTGCCTGGGTTCAGATCTCAGCTTCTCTCATTACTAGGATCGTGTCACCTTGGGCAAATCCCTTAAATGCACTGGGCCTCAGTTTCCTAACCTGAATCCCTATCTCATAGGGTTCTGTGAGAGTACAGTTGAATGAGTTATCTGTTAATGTAAAGTGCTTAGAGCAGTACTAGGTGCATAATAGTGCTTAGTAAATGACTATTAAGTAAATTAAGTCGGCTTGATCAGCATTGCCTCCAGTTGCATCTATTCCATTTAGACACTGTAACACACAAGGTCTTAAGGGCTTTAGGTTTAAGGGAAAGGGGCTTTTACCCCCCTCAATTCTACACCACAACCTTTTTTTCTATTGAATTAAAAAGGAAATAGCAGTGGGACTTGACTTTGAACACCAAAGTTTATCAAGCCTCTTTCCAGCTCAGTGAACATTCCACCTCCTTCTCTCTTTATGCTAAAGGAAGAGCAGCGACGCTGATAAATTTATTGAGTGGCCTCGAGCAGGTAGCTTGCTCTGTCAGGGTCCCTTGTGTGTGACTGCTGGGATTGCTGCAGCCTCCCCTGTAACTTGCTGGGGGTCCCTGTTGTACACAAGCCCAGGGCGTTCGAGTCGGTTCCTGGTGAGGGGGTTTCCACGCGGTGGCCCTGGTTGCTTCAGGGGCTGGGCTGTGGGAGAGATTAATGGGAAGTGAAAAGAGAAACTGTTGTGCTTAACCGGCAGAGCTGTTTGGAGTGTGACTCTTCTTGTATTTAGGGAAAAGATTACTCATGAGTATTTTCTTCCATAGAATATAAAGAACCTCAAATTACTACTTACATCCCCCACCCCCTTCTCACCCGCCTCCCGACGTTGCAGCGTGTCCTCTGCAGAAACTTCAGCATTTTACTCTCATTTCCCCTCCCAAGCGGGATTCAGTTCTGTATTTGCTTTGGGGCCCATTTTTCCAATAAGCCACCCAGTGCTTTTTTCTGTTTCTGCCTGAGCATCTTCTGCTGTCTGGACCTCTCACCTCCAGGCCCCCTCCTAGGCCTGAGGGGCCAGACCCTCAACACGTGGCCCCTAATGGGAACTCCCCATGTGAAGGAGAGGAAGGTCCATAATAAAAAATCGCCGTGTCATTCTTGTTCAAAGGTGACACCGTTGACAGTAATGAGTAAGATTTAAGGTTTTTACCAGTTTGAAAATTGAGATCTTGCTGAGTAACTCTCACTGCCACCCCCACCTCCCTGTGAGTCCAGATACATGTTTTCAAGGTCATTGGAAAGAGCTGGTACTTCCCATATCCATGGACTGTTTTTAACAGGCCTTGCCTTCTGGCCAGTCAGGAGTCAAAAACAAAACCTTCCGTGGCCGTATTTTCTTCTGAAGATCGTAAAGCAGTAACACACCATAAATTATTTGAAATTCTAATTTGTTTCCATGTGAAAAAAAAAATTATCCTAAAACTTAAACACCAAGAAGAAAAACTCTTAAATGCTCATCTCTAATGATTCCGGGGCCCAGTAGTTATTTTTTGGTACACTACAGAAAAGGCGTTTTGGTTTTGAGGGAACTTCCAGAGGGTTAGAAGAAGCCGACTACCATTCCTCAAAACTAAACTTCTCGGAGCCACTTGGAAGGCAGTCATGCCCAGAGGCCCTGGACAGTCTCCAGCGCATTTGAGCCGTTTGTTCCCCACCTCAACAGGGAGGAAGAGCAGCCACATTTAGCAAACCACATTGTTCTTCGGCATGCCTAGTTCAGAATGAAAGGTGACTTTTCCAGGATCAAACCGAGAGACACTTTTATAACACACTTGTGAAGTCTTCTTAGCAAGTTTAAGTAACTTATGAGATGGAAGCTCCTCTTAGCAACACTGATTCCATTGCTGTATTGGAACTGTTTGAACTATTGATTCACACCATGTGATTACAGAGAATGGATAGCTTCTTCTGATCCAACAATTCTCTTATTTGGTCTCATGATTTTTTTTGATTCTTAAAAATTATTGGCGCCCCCAAAGAGCTTTTACTTATGTGGTTTATAGCTGTCTGTAGTTATCATATTATTTTATAAATTAAAAATGGGTATTTAAAAATATTTATGAATTTATGGAAAAATAGTAAGCCAGCTCTGTTAATATAAATATATATATTTTAAATATCTTTCCCCAAACCAAAAGTAATTCGTGAGAAGAGTAGCACTGTGACACATTTTGGAAAGTGTCTTTGAAGTCTGGCTTAATGGAAGATGGCTGGACTCTCATCTCTGTTTCTGCATTCATTCTGTTGCAAGATCACATGTCATATGCCTTCTAGAACATTCTACATATAGAAAGATTGAGCACAAAAAAGGCAAATAATCTCCTAATATTGCTGTGAAAAGACCTTTTACTTTATAGGCACCCTACTACAAAGGTCTTGGGAACCCCGATGAGTGCCCAGATCACATTTTGAGAACCACTGTTGTAACTGATCAAAGACTTCCCACAGCAGCAAAATAAAATAAAAATATAGACTCACAGTCCGGCTCCCACAGAGCCAACTTGAGCCACCCTCTCAGCCTCTGCTCCATACCTCCCTTCTGCCCACTTGGGTCCTACACAGAGTTCAGGTACCACCCCGTCAGGAAATTCTGGTGTCCGTGAGTAGAATGAAAAGGCAGAAGACCTTTTATCCTCACCTTGCCCTCTTATTCTCAGAGCCAGCCTGATGGTTTCCCAGAGGCTGAATGAATTGCTCTTCCTGGAAGAAGTCTCAGGGAACGTTTCATTATTGGCAACTCTGGAAGGTCAAGCCCGGCTCTGGAACATTCTTCTTCAGAAGGATGCTGGGCTGCAATCAGATCGGCTCTGAATCTGAGGACCCTCCAACCACACTGACATCTGTCATAGTTCTGAGCCCCCAAGGGTGCCTTGGGTATACCCTGGAACAGCCCCTGGAACTGGGCAAGGAAGGCCAGGTCTCTAAGACCTACCATCCCTTAAACACATAAAAAAGAATCTTTTTCTCATTTTGCCTCTAAATAAAAAGTTCCTTTGAGAGCACACCCCAGAGTAGAGTTTGGTGCACAAACTGCTCCCTGGACCCCTCTTCCGGGCTGCTTCTGGGCTTGGAGAAGCCCCCAGTGGGGCGGCTCAAACTAGGACTGGAGCGGGGACTCAGAGTTGAACATGAGGGCTCTTGAGATGTGGAAATTCATTTTGTTAACCATTCAGAGATCTTCTCCCTTTAAAGGCTGTCTAACTGACAAGACCTTTTTTTCTTTCCGCCTTGCGCTCTCTCCAACAGGCTTGCAGCCAATTTACTGGAGCAGGGATGACGTAGCCCAGTGGCTCAAGTGGGCTGAAAATGAGTTTTCTTTACGGCCAATTGACAGCAACACATTTGAAATGAATGGCAAAGCTCTCCTGCTGCTGACCAAAGAGGACTTTCGCTATCGATCTCCTCATTCAGGTGAGAGTCTGGACTCTTGACATAGGTTCAACTTGGAAAGTCTGTTAGTCAGTGACGGGTCTTTACCCACCCCTCGCCAGGTGCAAGAAATCCTCGCAGTGGGTCATTACAAGGAAGGGGTCATGATGAAGCAAGGAAGGAAGGACGGAAGGAAGTTGAAGGAAGATCATGCTGGGATGAGCCAGTTTGAGGGAAGAAGAGGAAGAGAGGGGAAGCTTTTAAGCGTTAGGAGGGGAACCCAGTTTAGTCCTACGGACACTGGGACTTAAGGCTCTGACTGTACCACTAAGGAGAACGAGAGGCTTGGCCATCCATGGTGGCTCATACCTGTAATCCCAGCACTTTGGGATGCTGAGGAGGATGAATTGCTTGAGTCCAGGAGTTTGAGACTAGCCTGGTCAATGTGGCGAAACCTCATCCCTACAAAAGTTTTAAAAATTAGCTGGGCGTGGTGGCACATGCCTGTAGTCCCAGCTACTCGGGAGGCTGAGGTGGGAGGATTGCTTGAGCTGAGGAGGCGGAGGTTGTAGTGAGCTGAGATTGCACCACTGCGCTCCAGCCTGGGTGACAGAGCGAGAACCTGTCTCAGAAAAAAAAAATGCCATTCTGACCCTTTGACTCTCTAAAAGAGATACCTAAGAGTGAGTGCAGGCTGTGAACTGCTCAACCGAAAACAGAGAGAGGAAGGAGAAGGAGGTAGAAGGGCTAGAAGGGAAAGTAGAAATGAGGGAGCTGCAGATAAAGACTGGGACATGGCGAGATCCAGTTTAGAAAGGCTTCAAGTGATTTCCCTTAAAAGTAGGACTCGTTTGAGGTAATGCATCTTATAACCTGTAGAAATCCTAAAAAATACAAGTGGAGGTTTCCTCGGGCTCATCTGACTCAGAATTAAGGGCTCCTAAGACCATGTTAGAAGATTTCAGGTCAGTAACGAGCGTCTCCACCTGCAGAGTATGTTGCTCATGTGGATAAGGCTTCAAAGATTCGTCTCCGTTTCATTTCCCAAACCCTGTGGATATTTAGAAGGTACCTGTCTGGGAACTACATATGTCAATGGGAACTATGGTCTCAGGTTTATGCCTCTTGGGGGGTTAGTTACTGAAGGAGCCAAGGCCTGCCTTTTACCGAATCCCATTGCAGACTTTGACTCTGATGTAACTTGACAAAGGGCGAGGATCCTGCTGAAGGTCTTGGCATAGTCCCTAACTCCGTTCAACCTTTATTTACTCCTGGAGGCCTGCCAGAAGTTAATAAACCAACGGTCATGAGGAAACGTCCCTCATTACAGGAGATGAGATAAAGCCCCAGCACCCGTATCTTCCCTGTTCTTCCCAGTTGCCACAGACCGTTTATATGAAGAAATGCAAAAGAGGAAGTTTCCCCCAAAGTAGCGATGTTACTGAAACTTGAAAGTTTCTCTCTCCAAAAACAAGTAATTTAGAAGGGGCACAAACATACCTGAAACCTTTTGTCTCAGATCACCTTTATGTAATCTCATAATAGGAAGACTATAGAGCCGGGCGCAGTGGCTCATGCCTATAATCCCAGCACTTTGGGAGGCCGAGGCCGACAGATTATCTGAGGTCAGGAGTTCAAGACCAACCTGGCCAACATGGTGAAACCCCATCTCTACTAAAAATACAAAAAAGTTAGCCGGGCGTGGTGGCACGTGCCTGTAATCCCAGCTACTCAGGTGGTGGAGGCAGGAGAATTGCTTGAACTGGGCGTCGGAGATTGCAGTGAGCCAAGATGGTGCCACTGCACTCCAGCCTGAGCGACAGAGTGAGACTCTGTCTAAAAAAAAAAAAAAAAACAAAAAAACAGAAAGCTATAAAACAACCCTGTAAGTAAGTCAAACTATCCTAAATAGTTCCTTTGAATTTATTACAAAATACTTTCCTTTTCTATTCCAGTGGAAACTCAGACATATTATACACAAAGAGGCAACCTTATATATCGGGAGGAAAAATCTCCATCTCTTTAGTGTTCCAATGAAACCATTCATGTAAAGCAAAGACAGGAAAACACAGTGGTGGGTTTTGACTTGATTTGAATTGGACCTTGGGCAAGCTCTTCTCCCCAAGGTCCAATTCAAATTTCCTCTTCAACCTATCTCAGTGCTCTTTTTCAAAGCTAGTTTATTTTCCTCCACAGGGACCTCTCAGCATTATTTATGAAACTGGGTTCTCCCTGCTCAAAGCTATGAACAAAGATATGTGAATGTCTGTCCACAGTTCCATGCCACTTTGTCAAGTCTTTGTTGAGTAGGCCGTGTGGAAGATGGTGCTGCTCTTGAGGAAGCTGCTATCTAGTTGGAGGCAGGATTGCATTGACCTAAAGGCCAAAGAAGGATGGAGGAGGGAGAGAGCAGAGCAGGATGGGCCTCGGGAGAGAAGGAATGGAGTTGGTCTGGACTATGAAGAAGGGGTGAGACTGGGCAGGCAGAGCATCACCTGGAACAGCATTACCAAGTATGTTTGGGTGCTGGTGAGAAAGCCCACCTGATGAGTAGAAGAGGCAGAACAGACAAAAAGGCCTGATGAGCCTAATGCGCTAGAACGGATGTGAGGTGCTATAAATCACAAGGGATGGCAGCGGAAATTCATTCCATGAGGATTCACCACGCAACACCATGCCAGTGGTACACAGGTACAGGCTAAGGGAGTTGAGAGACGAGAGGGGCCGTTTCTAGCTGGATTGTCAAACAGACCTCATAGACATGGTAATGGAGCCTGACTTTAAAAACTTTGAAAGGTAAACGAGAAGGAGCTGAAGAAGCGTGTTAAGGAGATGTAGGCCAGGGTACATGGAAGAGGAATTCACAGACAGGGCTGCATGTGCTAGACCCTCCCTTTGAAACATGGTCGAACATTGCTCACCATGCCTTTCCACGCTTTTCTGATTGCCTCCTCACTGTGACTCCCATACCTACTTCCCTAATTCTATTCCATCTTCCTTTCTCTCATCTTGACACACACACACACACACACACACACACACTGTTATACATGACTGTTTGCTACTCTGGATCTCTCCCTTAGAGTAGAATGTTCAATGTGGGCAGTGATTGTGTTCTGGTAAGCTGCCAAGTCTCCAGTACCTAACACCAGGGCATGGCATCCAGGTGGCACTCACTAAATGCAGGTTGAACGATGACCCAAGTTGAGAGTACCCAGGTTAAGAAGTTTGGATTTTATCTTGCAGGTAATTGGAAACCACTGGAAAGTTTTGATCAGGAAAACCTGACTGAGCTCTTTTTGCAGCAGACATTTGCCGTCAGTGCGTAGGGCAGATTCACTCCATCTATAGCTTACTCAAAGCCGGAAAGCTAGAGTGGTGTCGCTATGATCCTAATGGGAGGCTATGAGGCCCAGAACCAGGTCAGAGACATCAAAATAATACTCAGGCACAAAGGGCTAGCTAAAATGGGGAGCTGACTTGGAAGCAGTGGTAAGAGTTCATTTTTGAGCGAGCAGTGCCAGGACATTCAAGAAGACGTGTCCTGTTCTGCAGCTGGAAATCTAAAATGAGGCAGGCCAGAGCTGGAATAATAGATATGGCATCATACATCATCTCCATTATGTAGAATTTTATGAGCTGGAGATAAAGATAAATTTATACTGAAGGTAATTTAATTAAGGCATCCACTAGAAAGCCGTGTACAGAATTTCAAGGTGATGCCTCCCAGCAGAGCCTACAGGAAAACTTATTACAGAACACAAAAGTATTGTCAGTGGGTTTAAAAGACAGAACTAAGAGGGAGTTGAGAAGACCCATCTCATGAAGGGGCCGCTCAGCAAGAGGAGGAAGGCTGAGGGCATTCTCCTTAGTCAGGGGCAAGACTAGATGGAAAATCCTTTGTATTTCCCAGATGTGACATTTGCCACCGTTTCTTCTGACGTGGGCGTTCTGCTTTAGCAGTTTGGTGTAGTGGAAATCCTCAGGCCGGGGTTCTACCTGGCCCTTCACAAATCACATCACTTCACTTGGCCTTATTTTCCTCATCCATAAAATGTGGTTCTCACCATATGGATCCTAAGCTCTCTTCAGTTAGTTCTTAACAGTTCAGCCCAACTTCAACACTGAAACAGTGTTAAGTTTCTAGCAAACCGTGTAGCCTCCCACCCTACAGGCAGTGAATAAATCCTCTGATCTCCTTCAATCTATCTACCTTGTAAAGTTTATACTTCACCCCATTTTTTCCCATGGCCTTTCCATCAATCTTGTTTGCTGCATAAGGAAAATCAGCAGTAGTCCTCACTAGTCATGGTGCTGCTGGAATAACACGAACTATCTGGCTGCCTCATCACCATGAACTGACGTTGAAATCTTCCACCTAGCCTCTGTTTCCTGCCTGGCCTCACCTAAAATTTTGCTCTCTGTATGTGGAAACAACATTCCTTAGCACAACTCCTCTCCAGTGTAGAGAGGAGAGCACTGGACTCAATGAGTTATAGTTACCTGAAATACAATCATACCTAGTACAAATACAGTAGACTCCCTGAATGCCATATTCTTTGACCAGCTTAACAAATTACACTTACTGCATCTACAGGACAAGAATCCTCCATTTTCAGCCCCTAGAATAAAGTGGGGAACATTTGCAATGTGCTTTAAATAACTATATGGTCTGTAACCAGAAGATTTCAAGGTTGAAGACAAATGGGATATTTTCTTTGGAATAGTCTCCCAGTTGGAGGATATAACAGATGACAAATTTATAACATTTGTAAAGCTGAAGAATGAATGGGAGGGATCCCAATTTTATAAAACTTCACCTGGACAGAATAATTTTACATAGACCTCGGGTACCAGGTGGTTATCACACTAACTGGTTCTGAAGTGGTTTAAATTCAGTGGGGTATTTGATTACCTGACTACTTTGAGACTCTGAGAAAACACATCGACAGGAAGGAACAGACAGGTTGGCATTTATATTAACCCTGACTTAGGGTTAGCCATTGTGTGACATTGAGGTGGAGTGGATTTAGGTACCCATT